CTCTCTCTCTCTCTCCTTCTACTCCTCTAAGTCTAAGTCTATTTCGACTACTATGATTAGGTGAGATGGTAACGAATTCTGATCAGAGTTTCGGACAGCGACRTTGAGGCACAGATCGAGGATTATTCTGGGACTTGACTTCATCTGTTACTGGGACGTATCTGGACCTTCGGGGATCCATAGCTGGGACTTCGTGAGATTCTATATTCACGACATTCTGGCTGTACGCCATTTTCGGACATTCAAGATACTATTTTTGGATATGTGTGTTGACGTCATCTCCCTCTTCTCCTCCTTCGTCTCTCACCTCCCTCCATTCGTCTATGGTTGTTTCAGACCCTGGCCTCCTTTCGTCTTGATCTAGAGGCCAGGGCTTTCTCACCCTTGATGTATGATTGGAGTGTATTCGTTGCAGTCTGAGTCGGGTCTGAGTCAGTCCATGTATGTCAAGTCTTCCGCTGCATTGTAATTACTCTGTGTTATCTGGTCAATTCTGGGAATCTGCATCATGCTCATGTTTGTATTTATGAGTATGTAACAGTTTGGTATCAGGAGCAGACCAGTAATTGGATGACTCACTTTTGATTGATTGATTGATTGATTGATTGATTGATTGATTGATTGATTGATTGATTAATTGATTGATTGATTGATTGATTGATAAATTGATAACCTGCACTCTTGTTCATTATTCATAAAGTTGCAAAAAAAAAAATATTTTCTTCTTGCATTATAAATTAGGTCGTTTTGGTTATTTTAGGATTCGTGACTTGCTCAATCTGCGCCTGATTACGAATCGCCGATCGCGATTAACCTAATCTAGCGCTAATTAGGGTTAGCCCTAACCTAATCAGACCTAACCCATCCGACCTAATCACCGGCAGGAAGTAAGTGCCATCCAGGCACCGTGCCAATTAAGGCAGATCGGGCCTGAGCAGGGCCACTTTTGTAAACTGCAAGGTCACGGAACTTTCATTTTTTGCAAACGCATCTATTTTTGCGATTGAAAGCTTAAATCTTGCGGCAATTAGTGTATCTTCCGATTACCATTTCACGTTTTAAGAACCTGATGACCTCATCAAAGTGCTGAATTTTCACGATTAATTGGTATTAATACGTTTAATTGAATTATTGGCTTAAAGGTTCTTTGTTCTTCATTGACCTTTCTTCAATTTTATTTTTGCAAATTTAATTATTCTTTAAATAAATACTTAATTTCGCGAATTTAAACCTCTTATTCAATTAAATCTTATCTTTTTCGATTAAATTCCTTAATAAAATATTAAATATTTAAATATTAACTTTTTTTTCGAAAGTAAGCATTTTCGTGGGGGGGGATTTTTTTTTTCCCTTTGATTCAGTATCTGGTCCGAGGTCAGGGTAGAAAGGGACTGTTTGTGCATTGCGTGCCTACCCTCCTTTCTCCCCACCCCTTCTTCTATCCTCTCCTCTCAGTCAGAGTGCCACGTCAGCAGGGTGCCACGTCAGCAGACTGCCACAGCAGCACCGTGCCAACAGCTGCAGGGCCCGACAGCAGCTGAACAGCAACAAGGAACGGGAACTGACCAATGCGCCGTAGCCTAGGAATTGCCGGACTGGCAACCAAGGAACCTAAGTCCCAGCAGGGACCCAAGGCACCTTAGATCACGCGCAAGCAACGATCGAAGATGGCTGAATCCGCTGACTCCAATGCGCCGAACAGCCCCAAGAGGCCGGTAACTCCTCCAATGCCAGTTCAGCAGGCTGACGAAACGCAGCTAGCGTTTTTTGAACGTCTCAAAGTATACTCTGAGACCACGGCAGCCGAACTTCGCAAATGGGAAGAGGAGGAAGCCGCCCGCCAGCAAGCAACTCAACGCCAGCTGGCAGAGGCCGAGGCAGCACGGAAGCGAGCAGCAACCGAAGCTGCAGCAGCAGCAAGGCTCCAACAACAACAGTTGGAGGCAAGTCAGAACCAAGTTCGTTACCAGGCTACACTGGACCTCTCAAGCGGCGAAGCCACGTATGGCAGGCTACTTCGAAAGCAGCATTTTCATGCAACTGCCAAGAAAGAGGAGCCCACAGACGCAGACAATGACAAGGAAGGGATCGCCATACTGATGGAAAATTTGCTATACACGTGCAACTGGCAGCAACGCGAACTGCTGGCCATACGTCAGGTTTTGATCCGCCATGAGGCGACACTCAAACCGATGGACCAGAAGATCGCTACGTTGCAGTCCGCACAAAGTGTCCAGCAAGACATCAACGATCAACTGCAGGACAACGTCAGCACGGGGATGGCCCGTCTATCTGCAGTTGAGTCATTGGGCTGCACTGTTCCTGACAGCAGCCCCGCTTTGGCCGCTCAAGCCAAGCAACTCGAAGAGCGGATTAACCACCTGGTAGCATCCCTTGGCGACATCAGCAAGTTCGCTGGCGCGTCAACAGTCAGCATTCAGCTGCAGACGCTCAACGACCGCGTTCAACAACGCACAACAGCAGTCGTCAAGGAATGGAAGATGCCGAACTTCAAGATTGAGAAGTTCGACGACTACCACAAAACCGATCCGCTGCAATGGTGGATGGGGTTCAACGCGGAGGCCGACGTCCATCATACTCCGCCCCTACGGCGGATGGATGCATTGTACCTCCAACTTATCAGCGGAGCACAGGCATTCATGACGCACATGGCCGTCACGCTTGAATGCACCATCGCCACCCTCCACACGAAAATCACGTGGGAGGAGTTCGAAAAGAAGTGGAAGACCCGGTTCATGGTCAACAATGACAAGCGTCACACCTTGAACAAGATCTTCTGCATCTTCCAAGGCCAGCATCTGTCACGGGAATGGCTGACGGAGTGGCAACGACTCGTCGCCACCCCGGAATTGAATCTGCCATTCGACTCGATCCGAGGCGAGTTCTTCACCCGATCTTGCGACGCCTTGACGGTTGCACTTGGCAGCGAATTCCAGTATGAGAACTTTGACGACATGATCGCCAAAGCAAGAGAACTCATACGAGGTAACCGGTGTGCAGCGAACGAGACTCGACCGCAGCCCGGTTACGTGGAGAAAAGCAAAGGTCAACGGACGCCGCATGTAGCCGCAGTCCAACAAGGACCAAGTGAGGACCACGCAGCCGCTTCAACATCAAGTGACGGAGATGTGGCGGCAGCAATACCACTGCGAAGCACGAAACCCCGAGGGGGAAAGAAGGCGAAAGAAGCGTCAGCAAATGGAGCACGACAGGAACCATGGGCGAAATCCGGGCTCACCGAAGAGATGTTCAAAATGCGCCAGAAATGGGGATGTTGTTTATGGTGCAACAGCACCAAACACATCACCAGCGCATGCCTTGACAAGGACAAAGAGAACGTCAAGCGCTCAAGCTCGGGAAACTGAGCACCGCAGGAAGTGCGGCGATGACACTTCCCAATCCGCCGGAGTCGACTGCCTTGCTAGTAGTCTCTCTCACACCCGGGGATGATGCGGTAGTCGCAAGCTCTCGAATTGACTTCGAGACTTATGCTGTCGAGTTGGTCCCGCCGTTGAACCAGCCTCTCCACGTGCAAGATTCAAGCGCATGCGCGGTGTTACCACTGTCGGACAACGAACCGGTCGCTTCGCCAGCCCTACTCTCGGAGGACCCGTCAACTGGGACGAGCATTGACGACCTCGATCCGTTGACGGTTGAGGACTTCCAATGGTTACCTCTTCCCTCCACCGGTTCATTGCCTACACCGCATTGCAACGCCTTAATGGCACACTTGCGTGAATATTTGCACGCTGCAGTACCACCTCCATCGACGGACGGTGGAGTAGCGGTTGTTGACCTCCGCGACTACCTTGCGAAGATCGACCGCGAGTACGCAACGCAACGGTACGTCGACAACGACGCGCCGCTCCTCTACATCCGCATTCAGATCGGGAAGGCGACCTTCAGCGCCTTGATTGATTGTGGAGCGTCTCGCAACTACATCAGCCAAGACTTCATGACACGCGACAGGCTGGGCCCGCGCGTTCGAAGGAAAAGTCAGCCTACGCACGTCACGTTGGCCGATGGTCATACGCAAAAGTCAATCGACCGATGTGTTGACTCGGTGCCTGTGTACTTTGCCCCGCTAGCATGCGAGGCCGTGTCTTTCGACATATTGGACAATAAGTTCGATATGATCCTAGGGATGTCGTGGCTGCAAAGCGAAGACCATCCGGTGAACTTCTTCCACCACACCGTTCACGTTCGTGATCGGCGTGGCGAACTAGTCCCGTGCACGGTGCCGCCTCCTCATCCTTCGATTGGTTGTCACGTGGTTTCCGCGGCGAGCATTCGCCAATCCATCATCCGGCACGACGTCGAGGAGATGGGCATTTGTTTTCTTCATGCCCTCCCACCCATTGACCAGCCCAAGACGGACACATCGGATCCACGCGTAATCGAGCTGTTAGACAGCTATGAGGATGTCTTCCAAGCTCCCGCCGGAGTCGTACCGGATCGGCCCATTCGACACGGGATCCCTCTCGAAGATGGCGCCGTACCTCCGCGCGGATGTATCTACCGCATGAGCGAAGAGGAGCTTCAAGCGCTTCGCGCACAACTAGACGACCTCTTGGCCAAGGGCTGGATTCGCCCTAGCTGCTCGCCATACGGTGTTCCCGTTCTCTTCGTCCGGAAGAAGAACAAGGACCTTCGGTTGTGCATCGACTATCGAAAACTCAACGCACAAACGATCAAGAACGCCGGCCCTCTCCCTCGGATCGATGATCTTCTCGAGCGACTCGGCGGCGCCAAGTACTTTTCCAAGTTGAACCTCAAATCCGGTTACCACCAGATCGAGATTCAGCCAAGAGATCGGTACAAGACCGCCTTCAAAACGCGGTATGGGCACTTTGAGTGGATCATAATGCCATTCGGTCTCACCAATGCCCCGACTACTTTTCAAGCGGCTATGACGACGGAATTCCGCGACTTGCTCGACCGCTCTGTGCTCATTTACCTCGACGACATCTTGGTTTATAGTCGGTCGTTGGACGAGCATCTCGGGCACCTTCGCGCCGTTTTGGACCGGCTGCGTATCGCCAAGTACAAGTCAAACCGCGACAAGTGCGAGTTTGCCCAGTAAGAGTTGGAGTACTTGGGCCATTACGTCACGCCACAAGGGATTCGTCCGCTTGCGGACAAGATCCAAGCAATTCAAGATTGGCCGGACCTCGCGTGTACCACCGACATCCGCTCCTTTCTCGGATTAGCAGCCTACTACATGCGCTTCGTCCAAGGATTTCAACGCATCGCCACACTATTGACGCGACTTTAGTCCCCCTTGGTGCCCTTCGAATTCAACGACGAAGCCCGGCATGCGTTCCATACGCTAAAGACGGCATTGCTCCAAGCTCCCGTCCTAAGCATCTATGACCCGACCTTGCCTACCAAAGTGACTACGGACGCGTCCGGCTACGGCATCTGCGCGGTCTTGGAACAGCATGACGGCACCGATTGGCATCCGGTTGAGTATTTCAGCCAAAAGGTGCCTCCCATCAATTCACTTGATGATGCGAGGAAGAAGGAACTCCTAGCTTTCGTCACCGTACTCAAGCGTTGGCGGCACTTTCTCCTCGGGCGTCGACGTTTCACGTGGGCAACGGACAACAATCCGTTGACATACTACAAAACGCAAGACACGGTGAGCAGCACGATCGGTCGGTGGATGTACTTCATTGACCAGTTCGACTTCACCTCCAAGCACATTCCGGGCTCCTCGAACAAGGCAGCGGATGCTCTCTCGCGAAGACCCGATCTTTGCGCCATGGTGCACTCCACTTTCGGCCTCGACGAGGACCTCCAACAGCATTTCGTAAACGGTTACAAGTCGGATCCGGGATTCTCCACACTCTACGCGGACTTATCATCGGATCAGCCAACGGCCAGCAACTATCGCATCACCGACGGCTACTTGCTCCTCCACACAAGGGGCAAGGACTTGTTGTGTGTTCCCCAAGACCGCATCTTGCGCACTCGCCTCCTTGGCGAATACCATGATTCGCGGCTGGCGGGACACCTTGGCGTCGCACGCACACTTGCACGACTCCGCGAGCGTTTCCACTGGCCGGACATCATCAGCGACGTCAACCGATATATTCAATCATGTGCGGTTTGCCACCGGAACAAGGGACTCCATCAGCTTCCCTACGGCGAACTCAAAGCATTGCGGATTCCTCGAGAACCGGGCCTCTCCATTGCTATGGACGTGACCGGCCCGTTCCCTCGATCGCCTTGGCCATGATGGTATCCTCACGGTTGTCATCCGTTTGAGCAAGTACGCTCGATTTCTTCCATGCAAGTACCATGCGACGGCTCCCGAGCTCGCACGACTCTTGCACACCGGCTGGTTTTGCAGCCACGGGGTTTCGGAAGACATCGTAAGCGACCGCGACACTCGTTTCATGTCATCCTTCTGGACTGCACTCATGGTGGAATCCGACACCAGCATGAAACCGAGTTCCACACGGCATCCTCAAACGGATGGGCAAACAGAACGTGCGCACCAAAGTGTGCAGATGATGCTCCGCACACTCATCCGCCCGGATCAAAAGGACTGGGTCGACCGGCTTCCCGACATCGAATTCGCCTACAACACTTCAGTGCACCCGACGATTGGTGTGACTCCATTCAAGTTGCATCACGGTGGTCGGAAAGGCCGCATCTTCGCAGACATCTTGCTTCCACGGGCTGCCGATATCGACGCCGCTTGCTCCCCCGCTTCTACACGGAAGTATCGGGAACTGTTGGCCAAAGCCCGCGCCAATATGCAGAAGGCTCAGGTCCGCATGCAGCAGCAAGCGAACCGGCGTCGACTCCCATGTCCGATCCGAGGTCTGGGTCACCTCCGAGGAATTCACGCTCGAGCAGAACGTCTCGCGCAAGCTCCTCCCCAAGTGGTTCGGACCATGGAAGGTCACTTCAGCAGCCGGCAACGACCCCGGGGGTCCCTCATTCGTGATCGAGATTCCCCCGCATTTGACGGTCTACCCCGTGTTTCACGCTTCTAAGCTGGCAGTATATACCCCGGCCTCGACAGCGGACTTCCCGGGCAGACGGTCACACGACCCTCCTTCCATGGATGGTCACCAGGAGGTCGACCGATCCCGACGACACACGCTGGATTTCACGAGCTGACCTGAAGGCGACAACACCCCTCATTTTCGCACACTACGAGAAGCAGCGACTTGCTAAAGAAGCTGCCCGGCCAACCCGGCCCGTCCGAACATCGGACAGACAACTTCGCCCTCGCAGATAGACTCGGTCTCTAAGGGGGGGAGTGTGTGGCATACTGAGCCACACGGGCCCCAGTTAGGGCCCGGTTCCAAGTAGGCAGGGTAAGCCTAGGGGACAACGGTTCAGATCAGGCCCAAATAGGCCATTGGTACAGCGGCTCAGGTGGGCCCAGGCGTAGAGGCCAGTACCGGTCCAGCATAGGACCTACCGAGGGATCAGTTCCAAAGGCAGCCACGTTGGGGAGCCAAGCTTCAGATTCAAGCTTCGAATCTGGACCGTTGATCGGATCAACGGTCCAGGACAGCAGGTACMTGGAGGGAGCYACATTTTGGGCGCCAAGTTCAGTTCCAAGTTAGAARCCAGAGACTGGCCCAGCACTATAAAGCTGGGTACCAGCCTCAGTTCAGGAGGTAGTTTTGGTAGAGGCTCTGCAGCGCTCTTCAGATTAGCGCAGCTCCAGCAGCTTAGCGCGGCATTCC